ACATGCAAGACTGCTGAAATCTTGTTTCCACATTATTATATGTAGCACTTAACCTGCTGGCTATAGGTTGAGTGTGCTGGTAGAAGAAGCAGAGCACTTTGTGTACTCACATGACCCTCAGCTTCTAAGTCTTTCCAGTCCCAGGGGGCTGGGTCTAAACTGCAGCACTTTTGCCCTCACTACAGATGTGCTGCTGCAAGCACTGAGATTGTGAGGTAAGAAATAGCATGCACTATAGAAGGACTATCACATTGCTTATGGATTTGTTTAAGAAATTACACTGTAGCTTGATTTAGTTGTTCCATGGTATAGCTGTGTTCTGTGGGTAAGGTACCATTGCCTTCCTACTTCTTCCTTCCTTCTTTCCACCTCAGAGGGAGAGAGACTGAGCTGGAGAACAGCATTAACTTTCACAGCGTTCCTGCCTCAAAATGTGAGCAGACAGCCATTTATCCTTGATTCTGTTAAGTTTACAGGCTCCTCTTGTAAAGTCACCAGGATTTACCAGCCTGTGGATGGGTTTCCATTGGTTCAGAGTTTTTTTCCACTCCCTCCCTCTTTGTTCTTTGGCTGTAGCTATGTAGGGAGAAGGGAACATGCATATGCGTTTGCTTGTTCTCCTATAACTCCAGCCCAGGCAGAGAGCACGGAGTTGGAGCTCAACAGTCCATTTGCACATTAAATGTAATGGACTCCACATATAAAACACATTTAAACCCTGAATATCAAGTAACTGCTTTCTATTGCGAATATTTTATAAACAGAATACTTTGCCTTTCAGAAAATACACTAGCCCAATAAATAATTAAACAATTAATTCCCAATTCACACTAGCAATTATAAAACAACAGTAACTTCAGATCTTATAATTAACAGAATCAGGATCTGCTCTGTCAGCCACAAGAAAGTACAATCGGGACCATAACACAGACTTAGAAAATAAGCACTTAGTATTTTTTTTTTTATAGGAATAATATTTGTCTTAATAAAAATGCCATTTTCAACTGAGTAGCTTTAGTTGTTTGTCTAAATTATTTAGCTGCAATCTAATTAAGTTTGTGAAAGGTCAGTTATCATTGTTGGAACTTGGCTGTTGTGCATCATTTCCGCCGATAGATCTTATGCTGTATTTCAATGCCAACTGACAAAAATAATGAAATAGCAGTTGGAGCTCATAAAATAGGAATTTGATAAAGATGCAAAGCTTGATATAATAGTGTTGTCTTCAGTGTCTATGGAATAGGCCTTTTACCAATTTAATTCTATTCCTGTATGTATTTACTATGTCTAAATGACCAAGTAATGCAGCTAAAGGAACAGAGCAAGATAGTTAATCCTGAGGACTGTCTTAGGATTTTTACTGTGTCTGCTGCAGTTTGGTCGAAAGGAGTACATGCTAATTAGTAGTTGAGCACTCATTTGCTCTTCTGAAATTATCCATTTTTGCATATTCAGTGTTGCATAATGCGAACCAAAGCGTGATCAGTGTTGATGATCAGGAGATTGACTTTGAAAACACACTGCTGATCCAACTAAGGAGGCAGGTCACCTACATATATTTGATGTCACTTTAATAACAGTTGCTGAAGTCGTGAGGGAAAAATATAGCAATCCCTCAAACCTGTGCTCATCTCACACAGGCAGAAAGTTTGCTTTTATTTCTTGTTTCTTCTTTCTGAGGTTGTAAACTGTCTTTTTTAGGATATAAATTGTGCCTCTTTGGCTGTGAAATGACCATAATCTTTTAAAAATATGAGGAAAATATGTGGGAGGATAGAAATAGTCTTTTGTAGGAAATATTTGAACTAAAAGAGAAAGATTGCATTAAACAGCTAGTCTTAATGGGTGCAGTATCTCACCACTGAATGCATTTCTTGTCTGCCTTTTCCCCTAAAGTTTGCTTCTGTATTTACTGAGTCTGTTGTAGCAGATGCTTTCCTCTGCCTTTATTTTCCTTATCTCTGTCGTCCACGTGCTTGATTTTACATCACATTAAAACAGAACACTAGGTCATAACAGAGCTGTCACTGTATATGTATATATATCTTGTTCTTTCTATTTTCTGTGTTCAACTTGCATTTTTCACATGTTAATGTTCTTTAATTTCTCATTATTACTACTTTATATTGTACAATTATCTTTCTTAGGATTTGGGCCTTATTTTTATAAGACTTCCACCAAGATACCTGAAGAGCTTTCATCTTCATAACAATTTTTAATCTTGTCTTTGTTTTTCAGTTTTGAATTTTCTATTGCATGGGTACATTTTTTGCCTTTGTCTTTTACTGCCACCTGAACTGTTTTTCGTATGTTCTTCCTAGTCTCATCTTTTGTGTTTTAGTATTATTTGGTTATTTAGAAGTCTCACTTGTTCCTTCTCTCCATATTGAAATCACTCAATGGTAGCCTTAAAAGTGGGGTGAAAGAATAATAGAAATAGTTCAAGGGTTGGAGAAAGTTACAGTGGGAAGAAGGCAGAGTCACTGAGAGAATTGCAATTTTCAAACTTCTGTAATTATTCCTAGAGCAGTTCTGTGGCTACAAACTGGAACTTTTTTAATAGCCAAATATTTTTTGAGTATAGACGGACTTGACTTGGAACAAGAAAATCTTACTTAAGGTGAAAGCTGAAACTAGAGAAATTTAAATTGTAGATGAAGCACAACTTCTGGAACCATCTTCCGAAGAAAATACTTGTTTTCTCCTACCTTCAAATTGAAAGTGACTGCCTTCTAGTATTCTGCTAGAAGAAAAATCTGCTACAAACAGTAATTACTTTTGCTGGAACTCATGTCATCGGTGAACTTCAGTGACTAGTTACATACAGTAGATCAGAACACATTCACTACATTCTTGAATAAAAAGGGTGCATAGTTGTGGGGAAAGATGACTAAATTTATTACTAGGGATGAAACAAATTGCATTTGTGGTGTAAATTACCTTTCTTGGAAGCAACTTGAGTTGCTTGCTGTGTTTGTAGACACAAACATCCTCTTCCAATGGTATAAAATGTGTGGTGACAAAAAGACTGATTAAAACACCTCAGCAGTGCGCAGCTACTGTGCCCTAAAGCTTCTCTGAGTATTTGTCATGATTGTGAGCACATAAAAGAAGCTAGGGGATGTGTTGTTTTTTGGTGTTTTTTTTTCTCCAGAAAAAGAAAAAGCACAGTAATGTCAATATTCAGACTCTGGAAATATCATGACTGGATTCATTTTGTGAAGAATGCTGTGAGTCTGGATCACAATTTAATCTTTGAGTTTGGGGGTTCAAGGAAAAGCCGTAATTTTTATCCTAAATGAACTTTTAATAAAGTAACAATAGCCCCGGAAGGTAAATTACTTAATCTTTACAATGTGTGCACATTAATATTTTTCTTACATTCATTAAATGAAAATATTGTACTAATGTGTAAATATATGTATTTATTTTAAATATTTACAGCCTTCATGAATATTCATAGAACTGATTTTTAATTGTCATCAAGTTTAGAAATGTAGATGTTTGAATCTTTATGCAGGGATTCTTGGTAGACACTTATGGACAAAGATTTAGGAAATAGAAAATAGAAGTCATTTAGAAAAGGACTTCTATTGTAAAACTGCATTTAAAATCAGTTTAGTTTGGAAAATCATTGCACGTTTCTACTTTCTACATTGTTAGGCATTTTTTTCTCTAAACTTCGGATTCTTTTCATCTAGCATGTTTTATGGCTAGCTTTAAATCTCCATTCAACTAGGACTCTGCCTCTTCTTCTATCTCCTGCTTCTTCTGCCTATATACATGTGTATCTATGTGTGCATGTATACAGACTATATTGATGAAAAGTTTTACAGGGATTCTAAGCACCTCGTATGCATTTCATTATTAAGGACAGTGCATTTTTTGTTTTGTAGGATGTTTTGGTTTTTTTTTTCCAAGGCACCTAAAGTGTTTGCATACTCACTTCCCCTAGGAGTACTGTGAGATTTATAATGATATTATATCCTCTTGAGAAGCCCTTCTTGATAATTCAAGCTGTATGTGTAGGTAGTATGAATAAAAGTTTTAGAAGCATATAAAACTAGGCCGGCCGAACTAGATTGGAAGAGATCACTTAGTGCATTATTTAGGGTAAACCTATTGTTCTACTATGATTCCTGGTAATTCTTTGTCTTTTTTCTTAAGTATTTCCAGAGTAGAACTTTCAGAATTTTCCTCAGTTATGATTCCTGGACTGCACCATTCAATACTACATGTAAAGTCTGTTAATTTTGTCCTGTGCGCTGAGAATATGGCAGCTCTTTTTCCTCTGCAATAACCTCTTATATCATGCTTTTCAGTTTTCTCTTCTTTAGACTGCAAAAACTGTTTCTTCCAGTCTTCTTTTCATATTGTTTTGTGTAGGCCTTGAGTTGTTCTATAGCTTGGATTCCTTTCTACTAGTTTGAAACTGATGTTTGGGTTTTTTTTCCCCAAAACTGTAGTTGGTGTTTCATCTGAGCCTGGTCACGAATTTCTACAAAACCTCTTCCTTTGTTCTGTTTTTACAATTGGCTTAAATGTAGTAACACTCATTTGAATAGCGTCTGTTTTATCAGGATTTCTGTTATCTATTATCTTTTTAAGATCTTATTCTAATTGCCATAATCATGAGTTCTTGAAGTGGCA